CGTAGGCATTATGTACTAAACCATGTAAGCGTGTTCTTTTATTACTGAATCAATTTCTTATTTATTTCATTTTATTTACAAAACTTAACATAATTTGCTAAAGAGGGAGAGTATTTGAGGTCATAACTCCACTCTACCCTACCTCGGCGAGGACACCATTCCATTTGGAGGTTTTAATTTGGACTGGAGACTGATTTTGGACCACCTAACATATTTTAATTTGGAGGCTCATTATAACTTTTTATTTCTTATTTTGTATAGGACAATGGACATCTTTTTATATCTTCTCAAAATGAAAGCAATAACCAAAACAAATTTGGTGGAGAGAGAGAGAGAGGGAGTTGGACTTGTTAAATATGTGATAGAACCTTATTATTAATCACTAAGAGTGAATCTTAAGGTTGGTTTAGTGGGCACAATTGGTTTGGTCTCATCAAATTTTTAGTTTAATACTCACTAATTATAATAAGTTTCTTAAGGTCAGTAAAGCGTAAATTGATCCAGATACCCAGTTATTAATAATTAAAAGAAAATATATATCACTAAGAGTGAAGAAATTTATGAACTTAGATCTTCATTTTGTAGCCACACACTGAAAAAACAAGCCTTTATGATTTTGATTTTGTTTTGTCATAAGAAGCATAACTAAAAAATACTATCTTTTAGTCCACAATTGCCAACCATATTTCTAAGGTGAGTAATGTTGCTCAAAATTTAGAATGAAAACGACTAATTTGGTCGGCCATCATTAATCCTTTTGTAAGGTTCACAAAATTGAGGTCAATCATAACTCATTATATGGATGAGAAAATTGTACAATAATTTTGGAGTATCACGTAATTATATTTTCTTATCAATCTTTATTTATTATGATTTCACACATTTTTAATAACTTAATATAAATAATCAATACTCAATTTTCTCTACTAATCATAATATCATTGAGTATTGTGTGACCGTCTTTCTAAACTAGCAAATAATGTGGGAGGTTGTGGTCAGCTCATTAATCTTTTTATATAGCTCACAAAACTAAGATTAGAAATAAGTGATCATGTGTTTGGTTTTTAGCATAACTTCTCATAAGCAGGCCCGATTTTGGGGTAAGCCCACAAAGTAGCCGCTTTGAGGCCTCAAAAAAATGCGGAAAATAGGATACCAAAAAATGTGTAGTCTAATACTTGTCTATTAAAAAAAGGCCTAACTCAAAATTATAATTTAAAATAGTAAATGAAAAAAAGGCTCAATCTAAACTAAATTAATAAAAGGCCCAATTAAAAATATAAATTCATAACATAAAAAAGAGGCCTACTTCAAATACAAAGCCCAAATTAAAAAGGTCCAAAAAACTTGAGGCCTATTCCAAAATCTTTCAAAAGTTAAATCGAAAATAATTGGAGGCCCAACAAGCTATTGTAGTTGTTCTTCGTTCCTATTTATTGCCTCTTTCTGGCATCAACGTTGGGAATCAAAATTGGGGAAGAGAAAATAAAAAACAAGCCATGCAGAGTATCTTTTCTCAACTTTCATCCATCACGAATCGTGAAGCTATTTTTTTCCTCTCTATTTCATTTATGGGTAAACTATTAATAGATCTTAATAGTTAAAATTAATTTTCATAAAGTTCTATTAAAAATAGGTCATAATAAAATCATCACTAAGAATCTTTTTTTTTTTTTAACGATTTTTTTGCGTATGTAACTAAAAATTAACAATTAATGACTTTTTTTTGTCATTATTTTTATAAATTGTCTTTAAAACTTATAATTAGTGAGATTTTTTTTGTGACAATTTTTAAACTATCGTTGAAAGTTAAAAATTAATGATTTTTTTTGTGACGGTTTTTTTAAATTGTCGCTACAACTTACAATTATTGACATTTTTGTGATAAAATTTTTAAACTGTCACTGAAAATTAACAATTAGTGATGCTTTTTAATAGTGTTTGATGAAATATTCCATTAATTATTATAGAATCTATTGGATAATAAATCTACCTATTAGGACCTATACGTAAGTCCCTTTTTATTTATTGGTTGACTGTATGAAATTACTCATCTAATTTAAAAAAAAACATTAATAGATAACCGTTATATGTCTAAACAAATATTTTATATATTTTTTAATGTTTTTTTTAATTATTTGTCACATATCATATTTGTTTTATATAGGCTTCGAGTTTTTGTTTAATGAAATATTTGTTTGATGATGGTTACAATTTTTTTTCCTATTATGATTACTTAATTTTTTAGTTTATTTTATTTTATGTTTATTGATTATTGGATTTATTATTATTATTATTGTTATTATTATTATTATTATTATTATTATTATTATTAGTAATTTAGTAATTTTTGATAAATCATTTGGATCTGTGGACGTAGGCATGATGTACTAAACCATGTAAACATGTTCTTTTATTTCTAAATCAATTTCTTATTTATTTCATTTTCTTTACAAAACTCAACATAATTTCTTCTTAACATAATTTGCTAAAGAGAGAGTATTTGAGGTCATAACTCCACTCTACCCTACCTCGGCGAGGACACCATTCCATTTGGAGGTTTTAATTTGGACTGGAGACTGATTTTGGACCACCTAACGTATATGTCCATTTGGAGGCCCATTATAACTTTTTATTTCTTATTTTGTATAGGACAATGGACATCTTTTTATATCTTCTCAAAATGAAAGCAATTACCAAAACAAATTTTGGTGGAGAGAGAGAGTGGGTGTTGGACTTGTTGAATATGTGATATAACCTTATTATTAATCACTAAGAGTGAATCTTAAGGGTTGGTTTAGTGGGCACAATTGGTTTGGTCTCATCAAATTTCAAGTTTAATACTCACTAATTGTAATAAGTTTCTTAAGGTCAGTATCGCGTAAATTGATTTGGATACCCAGTTATTAATAATTAAAAACATATATATATCACTAAGAGTAAAGAAATTTATGAACTTAGATCTTCATTTTGTAGCCACACACTGAAAAAATAGGCCTTTATGATTTTGATTTTGATTTGTCATAAGAAGCGTAACTAAAAAATATACAATCTTTTAGTCCACAATTGCCAACCATATTTCTAAGGTGAGTAATGTTGCTCAAAATTTAGAATAAAAACGACTAATTTGGTCGGCCATCATTAATCCTTTTGTAGGGTTCACAAAATTAAGGTCAATCATAACTCATTATATGGATGAGAAAATTGTACAATAGTTTTGGAGTATCACGTAATTATATTTTCTTATCAATCTTTATTTATTATTTCACATATTCTTCAATCACTTAACATAAATAATCAATACTCAATTTTTTGTACTAATCATAATATCATTGAGTATTATGTGACCATATTTCTAAACTAGCAAATAACAAAACTAAGATTAGAAATAACTAATCATGTGTTTGTTTTTTAGCATAATTTCTTACAAGCAGGCCCGATTTTGGGGTAAGCCCACAAAGTAGCCGCTTTGAGGCCTCAAAAAAACGCTGAAAATAGCATCCCAAAAAATGTATAGTCTAATACTTGTGTATTTAAAAAAGGCCTAATTCAAAATTATAATTCAAAATCGTAAATGAATAAAAGGCTCAATCTAAACTAAAAAAAAAAAGGCCCAATTTCAAATATAAATTCATAAAAAAAAAAAGGCCCACTTCAAATACAAAGCCCAAATTAAAAAGGTCCAAAAAACTTGAGGCCTATTCTAAATTCGTTTAATTAAAACTTAAATCGAAAACAATTTGAGGCCCAACAATCTATTGTAGTTTGTTCTTCGTTCCTATTCATTGCCTCTTTCTGGCATCAACGTTGGGAATCAAGATTGGGGAAGAGAAATACAGGGACGAAGCCCTAGAGCAAATAAAAAAACAAGCCATACACAATATCTTTTCTCAACTTTCATCCATCACAAATCGTGAAGCTATTTTTTTCCTCTCTATTTCATTTATGGATAACCTATTAATAGATCTTAATAATTAAACTTAATTCTCATAAAGTTTTATTAAAAATATATCATAATAAAATTATCATTAAAAATATTTTTTTTTTCACGATTTTTTTGCATATGTAACTAAAAATTAACAATTAATGACTTTTTTTTTCACGATTTTTTTGCATATGTAACTAAAAATTAACAATTAATGACTTTTTTTGTCATGATTTTTATAAATTATTGTTAAAACTTACAATTAAAGAGATTTTTTTGTGACAATTTTTAAACTGTCGCTGAAAGTTGAAAATTAGTGATATATATATATATTTTTTTTGTGACGATTTTTTGTTGCTACAACTTACAATTATTGAAATTTTTTATGATAAAATTTTTAAACTGTCGCTAAAAATTAACAATTACTAATTTTTTTTAATAGCGTTTGATAAAAAATGCCATTAATTATTATAAGATCTATTGGATAATAAATTCACATATTAGGATCTATACGTAAGTCCCTTTTTATTTATTTATTGATTTTATGAAATTATTCATCTAATTTTTTTTTTAAAAAAATTAATAGATAACTATTATTTGTCTAAACAAACATTTTATATATTTTTTAATGTTTTTTTTTTTATTATTTGTCACGTATCATATTTGTTTTTAAAATAGGCTTCAAGTTTTTGTTTAATGAAATATTTGGTTATAATTTTTTTTCCTATTATGATTACTTAATTTTTTATTTTATGTTTATTGATTATTGGATTTATTATTATTATTATTATTATTATTATTATTATTATTATTATTATTATTATTATTATTATTATATTAGTAATTTTTGATAAATTATATCAAACAAGCCAATCATGATTCTTAGAAGTATGTTTCTAGACATGAAAAAAGAAAAAAAGAATAGATGCCTTAGTTCAATCTCAAGCTGGAGCACTAAAATAAGTATTTTGGTACCAAGAGGAAAATAGAGAGCTCAAAAGAAGTAGTTGAAAACAATGAAGATAAGAATGAGAATGATGAAGATGAACAAATTAATGAAGACCATGAAGATTTGATGAATGATGAACCTAATGAATGCATGAATGAGATTACTGACGAAAACAAGAATGAGGCTAATCTTATTGAAGATTTTAATGTAGACAATGGGACTTCAAACATTTATGAGCCAAGTAATTGGGACAAGATTGATCAGAATTTTTGAGATCTATTGGTAGAAAAAGGTCTCATAGGAGATAATGACGTTGAATTTCCTAAAGATGAATTTGAGAGCTCAAAGAAGTAGTTGAAAACAATGAAGATAAGAATGAGAATGATGAAGATGAACAAATTAATGAAGACCATGAAGATTTGATGAATAATGAACCTAATGACTGCATGAATGAGATTACTGATGAAAACAAGAATGAGGCTAATCTTATTGAAGATTTTAATATAGACATTGGGACTTCAAACATTTATGAGCCAAGTAATTGGGATAAGATTGATCAGAATTTTTGAGATCTATTGGTAGGAAAAGGTCTCATAAGAGATAATGACGTTGAATTTCCTAAAGATGAATTTGGTAGGCATTTTTTTTCCACTCCTTACATTTGACATGTATCAAATGGAGAAAAACATGACAGGAAATGGTTAGTATATTCAAATGTTGCGGGCAAAGTATATTACTTATGTTGTAAGTTGTTTAAGCAAATGGGAAATAAGACTTAATTAGCTACTAAAGGATTTAAAGATTGGAGAAATCTTGGGCAAAAGCTTAAATGTCATGAAGCTAGCAATGAACACTTGGAAATGCATGAGAAAATGGATTGAAGTAGAAATGAGATTGTAGAAAAATGCAACAATTGACCAAAGTGTGCAAGAAAAATATCGATTAGAAAGAGAAAGAATGATGTAAACAAGTTTTACCAGGATAATCGCTTTGGTGAAAAGACTTGCTAAATGTAATTTAGCATTTCGTGGACACAATGAGAAGATTTATCAAGAGAGAAATGGAAAATATTTAGGTTTCATTGAAAATGATTGTTGAATTTGATCCAGTGATGCAAGAGAACATTCGACGTATTGAAAGAGGTGAAATTCATTATCATTATCTTAGTCATAATATCCAAAATGAATTGATATTGGTGTTAGCTGGTGAAGTGAAAAGTACAATCATTAAAAGAATCAAAGAAGCAAAATATTTTTCAATGATACTTGATTGCACTCCAAATGTAAGTCTTGAAGAGCAAATGTCTTTTGTTATACGTTGTGTGGATATATCAACAAGTCCAGTAAAGGTAGATGAGTTTTTTTGTAGAATTTTTAAAGGTGGATGATACTTGGCTTTTTAGTAAACTTAAAAAGGTATTGAATACACCCGAACTTGATATAATGGATATAAGAGGACAAGGGTATGACAATGGCTCTAATATGAAAGGTAAACATAAAGGTGTACAAAATAGAGTATTTGAAATAAATCCTAGAGCATTCTACACACTATATTGCACTTTGTGACATGGCCAATTCTTGTTCTAAAGCTCACTATTTTTTTGGAGTGGTACAATGCATATATGTATTATTTGCATCTTATACGAAGAGGTGGAAAGTTGTGGAAGATAATGTGCATAGTCTCACACTCAAGCCATTGTCATAAACTCGTTGGGAAAGTCGCACAGAAAGTGCTAAAGAAATAATATACCAAGCTCAAGAAATAAGAGATATTTTACTTGACTTGGCAAAGATGTGTGTAGATCCCAAAACAACTAGGGAAGCTGAGTCGTTTGCAAGGTATAAAATGGGGAATTTTAAATTTTTGGTTGGCATGATTATTTGGCATAATTTATTATTTGTTGTTAATTCTGTCAGCATGATCTTTCAAGTTGATGACATGCATATTGATATTGCCATAAATCAATTAAAAGGACTCGTTACCTTTCTTGAAAGGTATAGAGAAACTAGATTCAAGAAGGCCAAGATTGAAGCTAAAGAAGTTGCAAATGAAATGGAAACTGAACTAATTTTTCATGAAAAATGTGTCATTCAAAAAAAAAATAAAAAAATTGATAATATTGTTAGTGACGAGGTGACACAATCAACCGTGGAATCTTTTAGAGTGAATTACTTCATATACATAGTATCAATGATGAATGCTTGATGATTGACTGTGCTGAACTTGAAGATTTTTTGAAGCATGATGACAAATATGATATTGATGGAAGGGATTTATTTTTAGAATTGAAGGTATTAAGAGCTTTTTTAACTGGAGAAATCAAAAAGCCAATTGATGTGGTGAATTATTTGAAACTATTAGATGGTTGTTTCCCAAATATATGGATTGTGTATCGAATATTACTGACTATACGAGTTACAGTTGCTTCTGGAGAAAGAAGTTTTTCAAAATTGAAGTTGATTAAATCTTATCTTCGATCAACTATGTTGCAAAAAAGATTGAATGGATTAGCAATTTTATCTATTGAAAAAGATTTAGTTGATAATTTGGAACATGAAAGGTTGATCAATAATTTTGCAGCTAAAAATACAATAAGGGTGATGTTCAAGTGATATTTTATTACTTTTTGTTCACTTTTTTGGTATGCTAACTTACATTTTGGTCCTTTTTGTTACCGTAAACTTTGTTATATATTTAAGCAAAATTTAGTATTTTTTTTTTAAATATGTATGAAAATGTAGTGAATTTTAGATTTTTTTGTATTCAATAAATTTTTGAAAGATTTGTGCACAACTTTCATACTTTTTAAAAGGGAAAAATTAATATTAGTAAAACATCCCTTTTTAACTTTGGGTAATTGTAACGCCCTCAAAATAAACCCATTATATATATCATTGACATGCAATATTTAAAGAAAACAATTCATTAATTCATTCATTAGAGTATTACTAAATAAAAGCATTACATGTAACATCAAATTAAATGCCCTACGGGCTAACATCTTTCCAAGCCAACACTTGGACACAAAATTATGAGTTCTAACTCAAATACAAGTAAAGCCCTAGGCTTGAATGTTTACATGTACTAACAATTAAATACAATTAACTAAAGCTAGTCTTCAAAATCCAAAAGCCAAATCCTCCCAAGCTAAGTCCTTGGAGGTAGCTTATCACCTGAACCTGAAAATGATGTTCCCATAAAGGGTGAGCCACAGCCCAGTAGAAAAATACTAAACCAAATATAAGCATTGAATAAAGCTATAGCATTCAATAGATGGTTAATGGTTTCATACGATATGATTGCTTAGTAGTAACCAGGATGGCATGTTAAAAAGCACATGGACTTTGGTGTGATAACAGAGCATTAAAGGTAAAAGTTGCAGATTTTGGTAAAGGTACAGAAATGAAGCAGAGGCCAGTAGCACAACCAATTTGAAGAGGGAATATAGATCGTGTTAGTGTAGTTTCTAGTGTGGTACAAGGGAGAAAGTCATATACTTAGGCTGTGAATGGCAGAGGGCTAGTAGCTAATGACATTTATCAATTTATCGTTGTTGAAGAAGGTAATGAGTGGCTGTATACCAGTGCAATTGTTAGACTTAAACCAATGTGTGATGTGGTAGAGTTTGAACAAGAACTGAAGAGCACAGGAATGAGAGATATCCAGTTGAGAAATGGAGGAGGTAAAGACATGGTCATGACTTTTGACTCAGTGGAAAGCATGAAAGAGAGTTTGAAGTCCATGGAGGGTTGGATACATGAATGGAGCGAGTCGATAAAGGAATAGAAAGAGGGGTTGGCCATTGAACAAAAACGGCACGCTTGGTTATCATGGTTTGGAGTACAGTTAAATTTATGGAGCAGCAACACTTTCAGCAGTATAGGAAAATTGTGGGAGGAAATCATGCTTAAATTAATTATACAAATTAATTTATTAATACAACTAGGGTTTTTCCCAAAATTACCAAAGTAACCCCAACATATCAATATATCAAAACTTAGAACAAAACTTATAAAATGGAGTAGGAAATCCCTACCTCGAAGTGAGGAACTCAAACGAAGATGATGACCAAAGACCAACGTGCTCCAAATCCCAAGTTTCTCAGATTAAAACGAAGCCCTCAACCCACTCTAACTTTTTAATAAAGGACCAAGGTTAGATACTCACCCTAGGTAGATCAATTCTTAGAAAGAAGGCAGGTTTAGAGAGAGAGAAAGAGAGAGAGACTCTCAAGGGGCGGTTTTCTAAAAGTTAAGAAAGAAAAGTAGGTAAAAAAGTGATCCAAAAAGTGAAATCTCGGACTGATGTAGTCGACTCCCCGCTCGAGCGTGAAAATCCCCGCTCGAGCGTCAGACACAGACTCACGCTCGAGCGTCGATTGCACACTTCCAGAAGTTTTGCAGACGATGGTACCCGCTTGAGCGCCAAACTCTCCGCTCGAGCGGAGGGACTGCAGAGTAAAGTACTAGGAGATGGAAAAACACGCTCGAGCGTCAAAACTCCCGCTCGAGCGTATAAGCAGCAACGAAGAGCCCGCTCGAGCGTTAAAACTTCCGCTCGAGCGTGAAGGCCAAAATCTGGGCATCACCTTTTGGTTTCAAAGTGCAACCAACCTGTTCCAAACCTGCCCATCACAACCTAAGACCCTAATACAAAGAGTAAAAGCTAGAAGTGATAATGATACAAAAACAAGTCCACGGAACCAAGTCCAGAATACAGTATACAAAGGAAGGAAAAACCGGGATCGCTATAACCTCCCCCCCTTAAAAGAATTTCGTCCCCGAAATTAATAGAAGAGGTCCAATATGTTTTTTTTTTATTAGTTTAGGTCACTCGATGAAATTTATCTATGATCATACTAGAGAAATTTTTGAAATTTCTCAGTGTCGATTTTTTTTTTTTTTTGGTAAAAATATTGACAGATCCCAACCATTATGAAAATATTGTATGTCATTTATTTTATAAAATCTTAATATCAGAAAACTTTAAAAAAAAAATCTCCTTTTAAAAGTATCTAGATTAAGTAAATCTAAAAATTAAAAAAAAATCATTAAAAAAAATACAAACTAAAAATTTATATAAAACTATTTTTAAAAATTCCAAATTAAATGGTTAATTAGAAAAGCAATTAGATTAGATTATAACAAAAAGTACGGTATTCAATCCCTCTTAACATCCTCATATCAAATATTTGAAGGCAAAAGATAAATCAAGTAAATTGATTCATTTGTACACTCGATAGATTATTAGAAAGTTACCATTAAGTTAGCAAAACCAGCAATCCGACACTTTTTTCATAAGCAACCTTTCCCCAAAACCTAGGTATGACCACCTAAACTATGGTCAAATTAAGTCATTGGTTAATTACAAGATCTTATATTTGATTTCAAGACAATTTAAACCAAGACAAACTCATATAGTTCAACTGTTGGAAACAGTTTTCCGAGCCCAAAGTTTTGGACAAACATAGTGGCCTTTCGCAGCACCTAAATTACAAAGTGTGATTGTATTTTTCATGATTTAGAGTTGTTTCTTATCTATATAAACAGAGATAATTCAACTATTAGGCTATTTAATCCATCGCTTAAGGCTTCTAATTTGTCCCAATTTTTTCAAAGACTTAATAAGATAAAATCTCATTTTAATATTTAGTCTAAGAACTCACAAAACTTTTTGCTGCTATTGTATATAAATTATTCGAATGAATCAATAAGACATTTGAATCTATTGATGTAGGCATGATGTACTAAACCATGTAAACTTGTTCTTTCATTTCTCAATCAATTTCTTGTTTATTTCATTTTCTTTACAAAACATAATTTGCTAAAGACGGAGAGTATTTGAGGTCATAACTCCACTCTACCCTACCTTAGCAAAGACACCATTCCATTTGGAGGTTTTAATTTAGACTGGAGACTGATTTTGGACCACCTAAATATGTCCATTTGGAGGCCCATTGTAACTTTTTATTCTTATTTTGTATAGGACAATGGACGTCTTTTTATATCTTCTCAAAATGAAGGCAATTACCAAAAGCAATTTTGGTGGAGAGAGAGAGAGGGAGTTGGACTTGCTGAATATGTGATAGAACCTTCTTATTAATCACTAAGAGTGAATCTTAAGGGATTGGTTTAGTGGGCGCAATTAGTTTGCTTTCATCAAGTCTCAAGTTTAATACTCACTAATTGCAATAAATTTCTTAAGGTCAATAACGCATAAATTGATCTGAACACCCAATTATTATTAATAAAAAAAATATCACCAAGAGTGAAGAAATTTATGAACTTAGACTTAGATCTTCATTTTATAGCCACACACGAAAAAAAACAAGCAATATGATTTTGATTTTGATTTGTCATTAGAAGCATGACTAAAAAAAATCATACTATCTATTAGTCTACAATTGCCAACCATATTTCTAAGGTGAGTAATGTTGCTAAAAATTTAGAATGAAAAGGACTAATTTGGTCGGCCATCATTAGTCCTTTTGTAGGGTTCACAAAATTAAGGTCAATCATAACTTATTATGTGGATGAGAAAATTATATAATAGTTTTGGAGTATCACGTAATTATACTTTCTTATCAATCTCCATTTATTTTGATTTATCATATTCTTCAATCACTTAACATAAATAATCAATACTCCGTTTTCTCTACTAATCATACTATCATTGAGTATCATGTGGCCATACTTCTGAATTAGCAAATAATGTGGGAGCCTGTGGTCGGCTCATTAATCTTTTTATATAGCTCACAAAACCAAGACTAGAAATAACTGATCATGTGTTTCGTTTTTAGCATAATTTTTCACAATCAGGCCTCGATTTGGGGGGTAAGCCTATAAAGCAGCCTCTTTAAACCCAAAAAAAGCTAAAAATGGGGTCCCAAAAAATGTGTAGTCTAATACTTGTCTATTTAAAAAAGGCCCAACTTAAAATTATAATTCAAAATAGTGAATGAATAGAAGACTCAATCTAAACTAAATAAATAGATGGCCCAATCTATATATAAATTCATAAAAAACAAGGGTTTTGTACCAGCCAGTTCCAATAATTGAATCTATTACCCATTAGGTCATAAGTTTCTATCTCATACATCAAGAAGTTTTGTTATATTTTTTTTATCTTGATTTTTGCCCTTGCTGTTATATTGCCAAAGCCATTGATGAATTAGTGGTGTTGGTGAACATGAGAACTACCAGAGCCATTGATGAATTCGTTGGCGTTGGTGAATATGAGAACTGTCTCTATGGCCCTTGGATTTGAGAGATTTGGTGTTAGATGTGAGAGAGATCAAGAAAATCGACATGAATGGAGATGGGGTGTGTTGATAGTGACGAGTTCCAGAGCCATTGATGAATTCGTTGGTGTTGGTGAACATGAGAACTATCTCTGCGGCCCTTGGATTTGAGAGAGATGATGTTCAGAACATTGTATTGTTTAAATCGGTAATAAATTTGTTTAAACGAGTGATAAACTAATGATAAATTTGTTTAAACCAATGATAAATTTATCACTGATGAATTTGTTAAAAAATTTACAAATAGGAGACTTGATTTGAGAGAGAGAGAGAGAGGGGGGGCATCAAAACAAATTTCTCACTAAATTAAGT